ACACACACACACACACACACACACACCTATCATTATGCCAGTCTTTACCAGCTACTGGGCTTCCTGCCTTGGTGGAATCTAAAGTCTGTGTGGCAGTTATAGCTCAGATTCATAGAAATGGTGGTTAACTGAACTGGAAAGTGTTCACAGAACTTGCTAAATAAATGTTAAAGCATGCACATCCTCAAATATTTAGAGAGGTGATGTATTAGTGTTTAAATACCATGTCTGGTGAATGTTGTAATGTTCTAGTGTTGAAGTTCTAGTCTAAGTTGATATTATTGTATGGGATAACAGGTTTGAAATGGCTATAAACATCCTGCTCCTTTAATAGTTGAGTTAAATGAGTTGATTGCCTCTCATAATAAGTCATCAAGCTCTCTCTGAAAAACACTGATGTGTGCTTGGTGTATTTGAAATTGTGATTGGATTTGCACCGCTTATTGGCTTCCCCAAATAACTAGATGAGAGCAAGTCCAAGTGGAGCACAATGCACAGCAAACAGCAGAGTGTGTGAACAGTCCAGGTGCGGCTCAGGCTTTTGTCAGAGTTGAAAAGGCAGCGATAAGCTGCGACACAGATGGTTTTCCCACATCATCCCCTTTTACTCATTCATAGATTATTTCCTTTGTAATTTCCCCTATGATAGACCTTTATTTGTTTGTGAAAAGTCATCAAACAATAGATATATCACTTTCCTTTAATAGTCATCTTTTGTAATGTGGTAAGGCGAGATGCGAGGAGGAAACAGCCGAGAATCTCAATTGTGCCAGTTGAGAGAGCGTACAATTGATCCACTACATGGGCAATGATGCATCAGTGGGCCTTTTCACAATGTAATACATAAAGGGATAAAAAAACTGTACGTTATAATTGTCTTAAATTCAAGAACTATTTGCAAATATGTTAGATATATTTTAAACATTATTTTGATGTTCAGGGTTATAGTATGGAACAATGGGAGTTCATAATCTATATGTACTTTAATATTGCACAATAAACAAGTACACTGATCCATATTTTTCTATTTGTTAGAGGTACAGAGGGATTGATTAAATTATACCGTTGATAATATTATCCTATTAAACTTAATACAGTATAATCTCACAATGATCTGCATAAGGAAATCATTTCCACCAGCAGAGGGTAAATATTTGGTGCAAATGTAGGGTTCAAATGCGTCACCACTTCGGGGCGTGCTCTTCACAACAGGACCTATATAGTTCTGTGATCTCTGCCACAAGATACACAAAGCATCATTGCAGACAGCTGTTTCACACAACAAATATAACCAAAAAGCTCTCATCTGAAAATAATAATGCAGCCTGAAGAATACAATCGCAGAGGTAATGATAGCTTTCATTTCATTGTAATGACTTGTTTTGTTGTGATGTTATATCTCACTGAAAATAATGATTAGCAAACAATAGTCAGAATAAATATGTATTTCACTAGAAGTATCCTTGCAGCTGTTAAAGTGTCTGTTTCTGACCAGGTAAGGAGCTGGTGGACTACATCACACAGTATCTGGGCTCCATCAGGGAGAGGAGGGTGATTCCAGATGTGAAGCTGGGCTACATGAGGGAGCTTCTTCCTGATACTGCGCCTGAGGAGCCGGAGGACTGGGAGAGCATCTTCAAGGATGTCGAGAAAGTCATCATGCCAGGAGTAAGTTCCTGCTGTCAAACATTATCATATCAGAAGTCAGAAACGATGTCTCTGAAGCAAGGTCTGTCTCCTCTTCTCCCTCAGGTGGTTCACTGGCAGAGCCCTCATATGCACGCCTACTACCCCAGTCTGACCTCATGGCCCTCCATGCTTGGGGACATGCTGGCCGATGCCATTAACTGTGTTGGATTCACCTGGGTAAGGCAACAACTCACCTTCTACACTACCTCAAAACAACTAAGAAAACATAACTACATTCACGTTTTTCAATGGGTTATATAATAATCATATACAGTATATGGATAGATATGGTGATACACAATGAGGTTTCTTAATTGGTAATAACAATCAAATACTAACTTATACCCCAGTGTAGTTAAAGCAAACTATTATCTTAATGTGATTAATCTGTATTTGCATGCATTATTTTAGCTTGAAACTGTTTCATTTCAGACTAAAGTTCTTAGAAACTTTTCATTTGTAATTTTTTTTTAAATCAGTAGTTTACATAATAGGCTTTACCATGTGATTATTTTATATAGGCTATTTAATTACAGGAAAACATGCTATATCTATATCGTGATGTGTCTCTACATATAGGAAATAACTAGGCATAGAAGATGTTTTCCAAATAGCCCAGCTCTGATTGAAGACATACAATAGAGTTTGTTGCTGGTTTTGAACAGGCATCCAGCCCAGCATGTACTGAGTTGGAAATGAATGTGATGGACTGGTTGTGTAAAGCACTGGGACTCCCCTCCTTCTTCCTGCATTACCATCCTGACAGCAGAGGTGGAGGCATACTGCAGGTTTGAGAATACCCTGATCTGATTTTATTCAAACGCCAAACTTGAAAGTATTCTCTGCAGTAACTTTTTAAGTCTCTCTTCTGCCTGAACCTCCTGTTAGAGCACAGTCAGTGAGAGCACACTGGTCACTCTTCTGGCAGCCAGGAAAGACAAAATGTTGCAGCTGCGTCCTGACCTCGAGCAGGACGTGGACGACTCGGTGCTAAATTCAAGACTAGTGGCCTACGCTTCAGATCAGGTCAGTGTCCGTTTTTTCACCTCACCTGCTACTGCGGCAGGTCACTGAACGTTTTTACCGGCTCTCTCTGAAACCTATATTTAATCGTCTTTGAATTGTAAACACGGTGGTATCTGACACATAATGTGAGATATGGAATGTATTGTCTAACCTTAATCCCTCATTATTTTGAATTCAAGAATTTAATTGAATAACAAGTTACTTTTCCTTAATTCAAGTAGAAATCTGTCTGCCACGGTGGAAGGTGACCTGAAATGTTTACTGCTTTTATAGGCTCATTCCTCGGTTGAGAAGGCAGGTCTGATCTCTCTGGTGAAGATCAGGTTTCTTCCCACTGATGATCAGTTGTCTCTGAGAGGAGACACTTTGAAACAAGCCATACAGGAAGACAGGAGGATGGGACTGGTCCCTTTCATGGTACGTAGACTGAAGGATGGGTGGGCATCATGGGGTGTTTAGGTGGAGATTTACAGTGTTTACTAAATAATGTTTACCCCGATGACATTTTGTACAGTATGTTTAGGAATACTGACAACTATAAGGGCTTGATTGTATATAGAGTTGCTTTAACTATCTAGACTAATGTGTCAGTCATGGGCAGTGTTGTGCTAGTTACTGAAAACCAGTAACTAGTTTCCATTACTAGTTACTTCATTTCAAAAGTAACTCAGTTACTTTACTGATTACTTACACCAAAAAGTAATGCGTTACTGTGAAAAGTAACGTTTTTGTTACTTAAAAAAAGGGCTCCCATTAATGCCCTTATAGCCTTCATTTCAGTACTGCTATTGCATTGGAGAATAATACAATCTGTTGATCAACTTGACATGCATTATATGCAATCTGGATTGCATCGATATTAGCTGGCTTTCCATTTTTGTATATTCTTTCTCCAGGTAGTTGGAAAAAGTTTTCCGTCCCATATGCCGTGTGCCGCCCGGACATGGTATCATGCTAACTAGCTCCCTGAAAGCGGGTGACTCCACTGTAGCAATAGCCTGCATGTGTTCTACAACATACCGTGCAATGGCTTTATCGACTTTTCCCTGTCTAGCAGTCCCTTGGTTAAAATCCAGCCGCTGTTGCTTAGGTGGAGGTGGAGTGGCGTCGGCTGAGTCTCTGTGGTCTTAGCTACTAGCTTCGTCCCAGCATGTTGTTTTTGCATTTGTTTTAAGAGATTTGAATTACTGATTTGGGCAGTAGATAGACTCTTTGACCCGCCAAGACACAACTTACATTTAACTAAAACGTTCTTTTCTTTGTGCTCGACAAAAGTGAAATAGTGAGAATATCTCCAGGTGGAGAAACTAGACTTGAGCTCCGCCGCCGCCATGATAGTCTTGTTAGTAAACAACAAAAACACGCCCACAGCCCGTCTCCGCATGTGACACAGGAAGTATCTAAATACATTTACTCAAGTACTGTACTTAAGTACAGTTCTCATCTCTGTTCGCCTGGCTGTTGACTATATAAAAAAAACTAACGGAGTAACGCACCATGTAGTAACGGTAACTGAGTTACTGAATGTAAAAAGTAATGCGTTAGACTAGAGTACTAGTTACTGTAACGCGTTAGTCCCAACACTGGTCATGGGACATTTAAAATAACAGCTACTTTTATTTTTTAAATATATTTAGCTAAAACACTTAGATATATTTACTTAGCTAGAATTTTGATAGAAGGACTTCTAGTATTAAAATAGATCTGTGGATTTATGTATTGAAACCTACCAATATCAAGTGGTATTCTTAAAACATAATTATGTACAATTTGGTTTGATAAAAACCTAGGTTTGTGTTTAAAATAGTTCAAATACAAAAAAAACTGACATTTAAACTTTCATCTTATTGGTGGTTTTGTTTTCTCCTGTGTTCAGCTGTGTGCAACTTTGGGAACTACAGGAGTGTGTGCCTTTGACAATCTGTCTGAACTTGGACCAGTCTGTACGTCTTCAAATTCACTCCTAATAATATCTGTATAAAAAAATGTCTGTAAAGTCCAAACATTGAGTTGTCTTTTTGAGGTGCGCGTGGACAGTACTTGTATTTTAATCTCTTCTACAGGTGCAGAAGAGGGAGTGTGGCTCCATGTTGATGCCGCGTACGCTGGCTCGGCATACTTCTGTCCTGAGCTGCGCTGGTCCCTGGAGGGCATTGATCTCGCTGACTCCTTTGTCTTCAACCCTTCCAAGTGGATGATGGTTCACTTTGACTGCACAGCTTTCTGGTGAGTAAGCATGCTTAATACTTGTCTCAGCTCTTCAGAAATAATGGATAAAAAGCATGTTCTTTGTTGGATAATTCGTTTTTATTTTCTATAGTAATAGTAAGTGCAAAAGCCCAAATAAGAATCCACTTAATAGTACATTTAATTCAAACTATATATGATAGATTAAAAAAAAACAATTAATACTAAGTGAAGGATGCTTGTTTATTTGTTAATATGGTTTTACCTTGTTTTCTCAGGGTAAAAGATAAATATAAGCTCCAACAGACGTTCACTGTTGACCCTGTTTATCTCAGACATGAAAACTCACAGGCAGCCACAGACTTCATGGTAACATACTGTCTTGTATCACCTAATTACATTTTTATTTATTATAGTGAATCATTTCATATAAGGAAACCTTATCTTTCTGTTCAGAATTGGCAAATTCCCCTCAGCCGACGTTTCCGTTCTCTGAAACTTTGGTTTGTTATGCGCTCCTTTGGCCTGAAAAACCTCCAGGCTCATATCAGACATGTAAGTGGCACTCAGTTATTTTAATGCAAATTATTGAAGGAATTAATATCCAATGTAATCAGATTATGAACATGTATGAAATACTAGGACATCCCAAAGCTTTAATTTGTCTTTAAATGATAGGATTTACATGTATATTTCTGTATTGCATCAGGGGATTGAAATGGCGAAGCTTTTGGAGTCTCACATTAGGAGTGACCCACATTTCGAAGTTCCCGCTGAGAGGCACCTTGGCCTGGTGGTGTTCTGCCTAAAAGTAGGTGGCACAGATTTAAATTGTCTATGCAGTAAACTTTGTTAAGCAACATGTCTTTGACTAGCTAATCATTGTTGAAAGTAACATCTCATATAAAGGTCAGTTCATTTATAAGGAAATAAAGTTTTTCAAGAGCATGCTAGTTAAGGTGAGAGCAATAAAGGAGATCATTAAAAGTGGTAACCTTGAAATGATTTCCTCTAAATGTTTGAGTTTAGTTGAGAGGTTTTTTTTTTGTTGGCATTTGACATTTATGTATTTTTTATGCTAGGGGGGAAATGCTTTGACACAAGAGCTGCTGAGGAGACTGACGCGGTCAGGCACCATGTACCTGATCCCTGCAGACATTAACACCAAGCGCATCATCAGATTCACGGTGACCTCGCAGTTCACCACCGCAGAGGACATCCTTAAAGACTGGAGCATCATCTCCAAAACAGCTTCCACTCTCCTGGCTGAGACTCAGGCTCTGAACAATGCAGACCAACCAAAATCAGGGAGAGATGAGGTGATGGACGAATACCTCGACTCTGACATGCGGTCTGAGGGGAGCGAGGATGCTGTCTCCTGTCTTGAAAAGGCTGAGGTGGAGCTGTGGATTGACAAGGCCTGGAACAGATCCAGGAGACCAATGCGCTCTCTCAGCTGCAGCAGCGAGCCTCTGCCTTACACTTGCAGGGGGCCACTGTCTGGCTACGACTTTGATACAAGGCCTAGTCTTAAAGATGATGCAGGCGCCCTCCCTAGCACGCCATCAACAGCAGGATCTGGTCCTATGTTTAAGATTACAGAGGTGCCTTCAAATCTCATGGGTAAAAAGGTCCTAAAAAAGCTGACAAAGTTCTACAGCGTGCCCAGTTTCTGCAACCAGTGGGTGCAGTGTGGCCCGCACCAGCTCTGCTGCCCTGTAAAGGTTTCACAGACAACTCAAAAAAACGTATCCTCCACCTGCAGAAGAATTAACTGTATGTCTTCTTCTCCTGTTGCTAACACTGCCCCCTCTACCAATCCACTGGAAACCACCACTAAGCTCCTATAATGATCATAAAAGCAGTACAGTAGATTAGATACAGACAGTAATTCTGCTGTATTGAGCAATTTACTAGCCGGGTGCTGTGCCAGCACTTTCAGTTCATGGCAAATCTAAGATCACTGTATAACCATGTCAATGATTTGGGATTGCTTTGCTCAGTACAATCATGTTTTTAATTTTCAAACTAAATTAAATCCCTTAAAAATATTTCAGTACACAATGTTCCCTTCAAGTAGCTCGTGAAATGTGCTGTACCTAAATGTTCAATGTGAATGCCATTTATCATTATTTGACATCCAGTATCACTTCAAATCTCAAAATCAAATGTATTATTTTGAGGTTCACAATCCAACAATAAACACTGAACTCATTCAGAGCCTGATTTTTCCATCTGTGATGGAGTTGAATATCTGCTGAGTCATGGGTACATAGTTGTTGTTGTCCTCCAGGTAGAACAGAGGGTCACTGATGGCATCCGGGTCAAAGCCCTCCTGTCCCAGCTTCACCTTCATTTGCTTAAACGTCCCAGTAACTACCACTGCATCCTGCCAGACAAACAGAGACATATTCAGACGAATCCATGAATTGTTATGTGTTATAAACGTATTCAGCAAGACTTTCCTTACCTGCAAGCGAACGAAGCGGGGTCTTGCGTAGCTGGGGAGGTAGTTTTTGACGTGTTGATAGACAGCTTTGGTGTCAAAGTCCATGTTTTCTTTGAGCTTCACTGCTGCCATTCCAACTCGTCCCTCGTGTCCTTAAAAGTGAAGTAGAAAGTCAAATGACAACTTTAACAGGAGAAGATTATAAATTTCTCTCCGTTTTATACAAGCACTTAATGGAAACTTAATTCTCTGGATAAAATTACAAAAATTGTGTATGATTATTAGACATGTGAAATTCTATATAAATATAAATAGTCTAATGAATACACAATCAAACACATTTAATGATCAGATGCAAGGCTTTAACTAACATTTAGTTTTTAGGAGTTACAGATTTTCAGCACCATAAATCCTTACTAACAAAGTGATTCTTACCTGGCACCTTCACACCATAGACATTAGCCTCCTCGACAAAGTCCAACATCAGCAAATGATCGGCCACCTCTGTCGTTGCTACATTTTCGCCTTTCCACCTTTATTCAGGGTCAATAAAACAGACAGTAAATGCATAACTTAACTGCTATGTTTTCATTTAGCACTGAAAAGTTGGTCATAATTAGCAAACAAACACAGAATTATAAAATTATAATTCAATAATGATTCTGAGATTATATTAGCTAAATTAAATGCTTTATAAATCTTGAATATAATCCAATGTAATGTTGTGTCTACATCTTTAATTCAGTTTGCAGAGGTAAAATGTAAAAGTTATTATATAATAGTTGGGTTTTCTCTGGAAGTTTTTCCTTGTACGATGTGAGGGTCTAAGGACAGAGGGTGTCGTATTGTCATACTGATATTCTGTACACACTGTGAAGACCACTGAGACAAATGTAACATTTGTGATATTGGGCTATATAAATAAACATTGATTGATTGATAGTTATTTTCCAACTAATTGACCAAGTCAAACGCAGAATGAGTTTGTGAACCTTTTAGGGAGTGACATGGTCTACAAATGTCAACACATCTATTTGTTATCTAAAGCTGTTCCTAGATGTTTCATTACTCGCTCAGCTCATCAACTTTGTTCAAATCACTCACCTGAAAGTATCTCCAATTCGGTCTTGAAAGAAGACAAATCCCTCCTTGTCTATCTTTAGAAGGTCACCACTGTTAAAGTAGAGGTCTCCCTTCACAAACACATCTCTTAGCTTCTTCTTCTCTGTCTGCTGATGGTTCTTGGCATAGCCACTGAAAGGAGCTCTTTCTTCGATCTTCCCCACAAACAACCCGGTCTCTCCTGTAAGAAGCACATGATGTTTATTAGTAAGAGCTAGATTTCAAGACTCATATTTGGGGGGGGGGGGGGTTTCTGACCTTTGGGGACTTCAATACAAAATCCCTTGGAATTTTTGACGGGCTCCTCTTTCTCCGTGTCATACTTTATGAGGGCGTACTTATTTCCCATCTAAAATTCAATTGGAGAATAAAACGTGAGAAAGAATAAAGTAGTAGTTATATAAAGAATCTTATCTTCTAACATTTTAATTCATACTGCATCTCTCTCTCTATATAATATATAGAGAGAGAGATGCAGCTGCAATAGCATATATATATATATATTATATATATATATATATGCTATTGCAGCTGCATGTTCATCGCATGGCGTAAAATGTTAACCCACAAAATATTACTGAAAACCTATTAGCATTAGCAACTTCTTACTTTGTGGAGAAAATGCTCTTTGCCAATAGCTCCAACTTTGCCACAGTAGTTGACAAAGCCAAGATTTCCTTCAGTCGCTCCGTAGCATTCACAGATACAAATGTCCCCAAATCGCTGCAGGAAATCCTCCCAGGTGTCGCTCCTTAACCCGTTCCCCAGGGCCAGTCGGACCTTGTGATCTTTATCATTGTCTCGCTAGAGGAGAGCAAGAGGCGAGACAAGAATAAGAGACCTCACATTGTGTTGTTTTGTTTGGTTTTGAGTACATGAAAATATCGAATAAAACTATCAAGGCTGCTAATGAATGTATGTGCTATATTGTTGTAATGTGTTAAAACAACATGACCATATGTGACATTACACAGGGGTTTACCTTAGGTGTGTTGCAGAGGTAGCGCATAATTTCTCCTATGTACTGAATAACTGTCACGTTGTACTTCCTACAGTCGTTCCAGAAGTTGGAGGCAGAGAACTTACGTTTTAATACAACCGTGATGCCTGCAAATGAAGGCACAGATTTAAGCGACACAAAATAAAGTCACAGTTAGAGCTAAGAAAGTGTTTTTGACCTTGAGGACCTTGAAATACGAATATAGTTGGACACTACTAGTCCATATCACTTGTTTAGCCTTGACTAAACAATCAGCATGCACCCTGTGAATCATTGGTAGGTTTATGATCTCGTGAATGACCTCGTTCTATGGCTCCACAAAGCCCCATCACAAATCCAGAAGTGTGGTAAAGAGGCAGGCACACGAAGAGGACATCGTCTGAGCGGACAGCAGCAATGGACTGGAGAAAGGTTGACCTCCATAGCCTCTCGTGGTTGATAATAGCTGCCTTGGGAAGTCCTGAGAGAAAACGCCATTAGAAGCAGACGCAGCCATTTTTTATTGTCCTATCTCTGCAGCTCAAGGTCTTCAGACTAGAAAAACAATCACAGATTAGAAGGGAAGGTCAGATGAGCCTGTCAGATTACCTGTGGTTCCTGAGGTGTAGATGTAGAGTGCGGGACTCTTAATGTTAACGTTGGCCCTCAGCTGAGGTGACAGAGGCTGGTCTGAGGCCTGCTGAACTTTATCAGAGAGGCTTTCAATGCCCTCCACCTCACAGTGCTCACTGAGGATAAACACACGGACACCCTGCTCGGTCAAGGTGGGTAACACCTCTTCTACAGCCTGTTTCAAGTCTGAGAGAGACAAAACAGAACAAGGAAGTTCAGACTTCATGGAGGTCAGTGCTGATACAATAAACATGGTGAATCAATCATTACAGATCATGGGAATTAAGCCTAGAAAGTCAAAGCCGAGTCCAATAAATGAATTGACAAACAAGATATTGCAGTATAGAAATGCAAACTAGTTTTGAGGCAAATTAGAGTAGTTTGTTCACCAGAAAGAAGGGAGGAATAGATTTTTTTTTTTTTTTAATGGTAAATGTTTGTTATGGAATGCATTTTTTTCAGATTACATTTTTCAAATGTAAGGGTTCCATTTAAAAATTGTTATTTTCGTGTTATGGATTTCTTTTTAAAATAATTCAATTCAATTAGTGTCCCAAATATCAATATCAGCATCATCCCTTTAAAAATCCGCAATATCTCTAGATAAACGTATAGCCTGTGCCATGCACAGAAAATACCTATTTTTTTAACCCTTGTGTTATCTTCACATTTTGCACCCTTTGGTAATGTTCGGGTCAAATTGACACGGGACATATTTCAGGGTTTAAAAAAAATACAGAACTAAATTCAACATGCACAATTCCTTATAGTCTTTAACTCATTCCCCAACAATATAAATGAAATATATGATTAGTTTTTTATTTTTATTTTCAAATTTAACAATGGAAGTGTCCATCGTTTTTTGTGTTAAAAATGTAATTTATGTTAAAAAAAGAATACACTGTAATAAAAACTAGGTTTACATTTTGCTCATGCTTTTCTAGGACAAATGTAAATGAAACATTTTTTCATTAATGTTTATTATTTTTAATCTGTCATATAATAATCAAAGCCCTGAAGGAAATAAAGCAATTTATCAGCAATTGGAACACAAGAACCACACATCCAAAAGTATTTGGCAGTGAAATATAGAGGGAATGAAACATCCATATAAATTACATAGAACAGATATAAACACAAAGCAAATAAAAACAATTAACAGTCACTATTCATAAAATACAGTATATCCGAAAAATATATTGATGAAGTGACGCTGCAGGACATCATGTGAGTCAATGGGCAGGTCCGTTTAGGAAACACATGATGTACAGAACTTCTTCGTGTGTATAGCACAGATGTACTTGTTGCAGTTGCTGCATGTAGTCTGTGTCTTGGAGTCCTTTGAGGGTCCACAGACCTCACAGCTGGCTGTGGGGGTCTTCCAGAAGCTGACTGTGGGGGTCTTCTTGCGGCTGGCTGTGGGGGTCTTCCAGCAGCTGGCTATGAGTCAAGTTCATCTTCCAATTTGCTGTCAAATTCTGAGTTTACCTCCACATCTTCAGAAATGTATTCCTGTTCCACTTCACCGTGTTATTCTAATGCATTCCACTCACTCTCATCCATTATTAGCTCCAAGGCTCTGAGCAGAATATATTTTGGCCATTTTGTTGGTAGATAATTGTAGTTCTGCACTACACTGTTACTACACTGAGGTTATGTCTCTGTTTAGTCCCTCCTCCGGCGTGCAGGTGCGAGGGGGACAGTGCGAGAAAATATAAAATGTTTATACATTTCTGGAAGATCTAAAATGTTTATAATGTTCTAGGATAGTTTTGTGTACACACTACAAAGGGTAAAGATCAAGAGAAAACAGGATCAAACAGCTTCTCAATGCATACAATTGTGTGTGTGTGTGTGCGTGTGTGTGTCTTTAGTTTGTGTGTTTCTCTCTGTCTGTAAAAATAAAAACAATTCCACATGTCCTTCACAATAAATAAGCCCCGGCCATTGAGTTTCAGGTTGAACGAAAATATCCTTATATTTTTTTTTATTCATTGAAAATGGAAATCGGGTCAATTTGACCCGAACACCACACAAGGGTTAAAGTAATATTGTTGGTAGTCTCTACGTTTTAACAAAAAATATTAAGAGTGGGAGGTATGGAATCACAAATAAATGCAGTAAATCCGAAATCAACTTACCGGCACCAGCCACCAGGAACTTGGCGTCACAGCAGGAGAAGCAGTGCACCAGAGACTTGGATCTGATGTTGCAGTTCAGTAAAGAAGATATGCATCCCAACTTGGTAAGAGCGAGCCAGAGCCACACAAAGTGAGGCTCATTTCCCAGGAAGAGGGCCACCGTGTCCCCCTCCTTCAGGCCGGCGTGGGTGGACAGCGCTCGCGCCACTTTGTTGCTCTCTTTGTCGGCTTGGCTGTACGTGTACGAGCTTTCCTCGAAAATAATGAACTTCTTATGCGGATGTTTCGCCACTTTGTCCAGAAACCCGTCCAGCATACTGTAACACGGCTTCCGCTTCTTAATTGTGTAAAGGCTTATAGCAATTTTAATTGAAGAAATGGCGAAACTCAAATCTTGAAAAAAATAACGAGTTTTCAGGCGAGGCAATAACACCAACAGTGCCAAACCTGCCAGAGCCGTGTATAAAATATATGTTATCATTGTTAGTCAGAACAAAAATGTCAGCCTGGCTGTATTAAGAGTTTAAACTCTCAGCAGCACACAACAAAAAACTGAATGTAGTCAGACCTTTACTGAGTCGACGCACCGAACTTTGACCAATGTTAACTAGGGGAGTAACTCAAGGCTTCATGGGTGGAAAACACTTCTCCTTCCGCAGATATCGAAATGTATCAGATTTAAATAGTCATTTTTTAAAATGCGTTTACTGCTCCTCCCTCCTCAAATCAGTTTATTGTGTAATCATTCTGCTGTGGAACAAAATTCCCTGCAAATATTTGGTTTCCAAAGTATTGTTGCCAATAATGGTTCATTTAGGATCAGCAACTAGTTGGGAACAAAGTGAACCCTGATATAGAACGTGTTTGTCAGATGTTCAGTAAAACATAACATTAGTCAACATTCTTCTGTCCAAATGACCCTAGAATGACCTTTTGTCAAATTTAAAAACAGCATGGTTTCTAAGGTTTACGCCTGTTACTTATCTTACAAGCCGATGATGTGTCATCATTAAGTCATGTTATGTCAACATAAATTAGAGTAAAAACGGTGAGTGACACTTTTTAAACTTACCATAACTGACATAACCTTTATTGAAAGAGCTTCTATTCATATTGTTTATTTATGTTTTTATTAAGGGCCATATTTTTGCACTATCATGAACAGGACCAAAACATAATAATGGAACATGAAAAACACCCTAAAAAACATGTATTTGTGACGACAGGTTGGTTGGGTGCAAAACTCACACTACTCCAACACAAGAACAGTCTATTCTGGTGATTTACATTTTGGTAGGCTATATTTGGTTAAAATTGGCATGTAAATGATTACAGTGTATAAATATCGAAAGTACGAGATGTACCTGCAGGACTTGTTCTCCCTGAAAGAAATGTGCACCTTTGTTTTCTAGTCATTCACTTTTATGGAGGGGTTAACAGATATACCATTAAGATCAATATATGTTCACAGAAAGCACATATGGAAAAAAAAAATTAGACAGCGAACTCTGTGTTTATCATGGTTGGATCCTTTAGTTATTCCACCTAAAATAAACTGTAGTGTTGAGCATTCAGTGATATTTTAGACACATACCATGCAGATTAATCTTCATGTTTTTGGAATGTTAAGATGTTCAACAATTACATCTGGGGGACATTTTTGAGTGCACTGTCCATGTTCATTTATATAAAGTGAATATTGTACTGTATACCCCCACTACACTGAGCACATAGTTTGCATTTGTCTCCACCTTGTGGTTTTTCCATGTCACCGCTGAGATGTATCTTTGTATTGTTTAGTTATGATGAGTAAAACCTGAGCAAAAGTGTATATGAACATTAGTTCTGGCTGTATAGTAAGAATCAAAGTAATTCATATTAAAATATATAGGCACATAAATATCTACCTATGAGAGATAGTCCTATAGCCTCTAACAAGTTTGTTTTCACTGTTTAACCAAATATACAGCAACATTTCTCAACACCATGTTAACACTGAATGAAGTCAAAGCAGCAGTCCTCATACTTGAAAGCAGTAAACCAGCTTGTAAAATAAAAAATATATATCACTTGTCAACAAATGTATTATAAAACTCACTCCCTCCCTTACAGGCCGACTCCAGCCCCTAAAATGGATCCTTAAAAACAAATCTTACACTACTGATTATCCATCTACTGCTTTTAAAAAAGAGGTTTATGCCAGACTGAGAAGCCGGCACAGTTAGTGGACACAGAGAGCGTTCTCATAGTTTGATGTTTCCTGATATGATGGAGCTGTAGACCTGAGCTGTCAGCGGTATGTAACTCTTCTCTTCATTGTCAAGGATGTAAAGAGGGTCCTGAATACGTCCTGGATCAAAGCTCTCCTCCACTAACTTCACCTTCATCTGCTTGAATGTCCCCGTCACCTCCACAGCATTCTGGACAGAATAAAAGTACGAATCAATCATTCAGGTACAGTATCAAAATATCTTTATCTGCTTTTAATCACATGGTACGGACACCCTGAGAGGCAAGTGAGGGAGCTAAATTCTGGTGATCCATTTGTGTAAGTGTGATCTTAACTGTTTTCTCTTCTGTGTTTATGATTAAAACACATGTGGAAAAAGATCAGGATAATCTTTAGTTTTTAACTGTTTTGCTCATCTGTGAAACAAATGGGATAGCAAACATGAATGTTGTAATCCTGCTTAGAACAAGGGTTAGTGGTGAATGTCAGACTCTTGTGGCTAAAATGAGTATTACAACAGCATACAAAAAATAAATTTAAAAAAAGAACAGCCAAGACGTTGTTCGGTCCATTTGTTTTTTACAGATCAACATTTTTTAAGGAAGATTATCCTTACAAAATCTTCTAATTTTCAACGGTTATTTTGTCATAATAAGAAAGAAAACAATTTAGATCAAACTTGGAAAAATAGATTCCTAGAATTATTGTTTCACACTCGAAACAGAGTGAAAATATGTATTGCCAGATTGATAAGGTTGCATCAAAAATATTTGTTATTTACTTTTTTGAGAACAAAACAGTTTTCTAGGTATTTTAATGTATGCAAATGTAATGTGCTCTTTCTTTTCAAAATGTAGTGCTGAGAATTGAGTTGTGAAATAACCATACCTGTATTCTTATGAAGCGAGGTCTGGCATATGAAGGCAGGTAGCTAACCACATGGTTAAATATTCTACTTCCATCAAACTGTGCGCCTTCCTTCATGGTGACTGCTGCCATTCCTATCCGCCCCTCATGCCCTGTATAGCCGGGCAAAATAGAAACAGATAAAGCATTCGTTTACCAATTCATCTGCAAATCAGCCTCTCTTCAATGTTCTGGCATTTGGGAGTCATGAGATCTTAAAACATACTGTGAGGTCAAATGTGCAGAGGAAACAGCCGTCACCTGGCACTTGGACTCCATACACGTTGGCTTCTTTGAGACCATCGCTGATCGTCAGAATGTCAGACACTTCGTTTGTGGCTACATTCTCACCTTTCCACCTGCAAGCTCAAAGTTAAAACTTTATATTAATTGTGTTACTGTTTTTTTTAAGTGAAACATTTTTTTTACCCAGCTTTCATAATCCTGTCAAATAGGGTGCCTGCAGAGCCCAGAGGTCTACTTACTATTATCATTCATTTTAACATGATTTTGTTAATCAATTTGTTCCCAATGACTTGCTTTCAATATTTCATTTTCTGTTTTAATCATTGCCTTTAAAAACACAGATTTCCTCATGTGTTCTGTATATATTGCATTTCACACAATATGCAGATACACTTTTGTTTTTCTTAAAATATGTATCTATTAACCCTTTTTCAACTTTTTTGTTTTATTACATTGCTGATCCTGCAGTATTGAAACCATAAACAATTTTTCTTTACGAACAAAATCAAATTAGGGTGCTCAGGAGTTCTGTACCTGAATGTGTCACCTACACGATCCTGGAAGTAGATGAAGTTGTCGTTATTGATCCTCATGAGGTCTCCACTGTTGAAGTAAAGATCTCCCTTCTTGAGAACATTACGAAGTTTCTTCCTCTCCGTTTGTTCTTCGTTCTGAGCGTAGCCGACGAAAGGAGCGATGTCTGTGATCTTTGACACCAGCAGTCCTGTCTCACCTTAACAAAAAGGAGACATGTCTTTTACAGCCATTGTCCATTAAACACCTACATCAGTAAATATCCTATGACTATAAGATCCATAATTATTATTGAGTTTTATGTTTATTTTTCTCACCCTTGGGTGCCTCCACACAGAGGCCGTTATCATCTCTGATCGGTTCATCTCGCTCGGTGTCATACTTTATCAGAGTGAAGGGAAACAGCTTCTACAGGAAGAAACACATCACTGTTTCAGTATGTGCCAAACATCCTCTACGCAGACAGCAAAAATAAAACATATTTACCATATTATTTATTGGCAGCCATGCATGGGATTCTAATATGCCACCTATGTGTTTTGCATCTACACAATTAAGTTGCCTGTATAAGATTACAATGCTAAAAGACAATTGAATGCTTTTTTCTATATTATTCTTACCTGATGGAAAAAGTTAACTCGCCCAATAGCTCCAATCTTTCCTACGTAGTTGACAAATCCCACATTTCCCTCGGTGGAGGCGTAAAACTCACGGACCTCTATGTTCCCGAAGCGATTGAGAAACTCTTTCCATACCTCTGCTCTGATACCGTTGCCAATGGCCAATTTTACTTTATGGTCCTTGTCATTTTCTCTCTGCATTGTCACATAAACAAAACATTAGATCACAAATGTTGGTGGCATTGGGATATATATATTTTTTGTAAATCCTCTGGAGCAGAGAGAGGAGCTGTGGATTATTGTTATTGATGAATGCATCAGTGTTTCTTAGGGTCAAAAACACTAAACTCACAACTTAAAAAGAAAGTGTTTAGTTTATTTAATAAAAGAGCACATGTTCAATGTGAAAAGTGACAGTAGATATAGATTAGTTGCAATATGGTGCATATATATTTTAAAAACAAATTATAATTTTTTTTATTTTAATAATTGTTGGTGAGGCGCAGCGCCCGTCTAAGACAATGTTAGGGGAAACACTGGGGGTTAAGTATTTCTTTATAAACAAACATAATGTATATGTGTCACACAGTCACAGTTTCAGTCATCTAATTACGCCTCTCATTAGGATCCTCTCAGATCAAGTATGGCTAATCCCTGCCTGTATGTAATAATTTGCATAAAACAGTTTACACAAGCAATGATGCTTATGTAAAATGTTTGGTTGCCAAGTTACTTAATATGGTCTTCCTTAGTAAAGGCCAGCATCTATTCCTAGTGATGACCAGATACAGACAGGCCACCTCCTCCTACTCTAACAGGGTTACACGCTAAATTGAGACTGCACTTCATGTGATGCAATAAGATACTCTGAATGGCCATACATGTAGGTAGAATGTAGTACTCCTAAATACAGCAGAGTCCGCCTTAAGAGATGTGGAAATGTTGCATTCCTCCTCTTACAAATGATCATATTTCAGCATTTCATTTTGACATGCATCCATAAAGTTGCATGGTGTTCGAACCCCCGCAGATAATGAAGCAGGAGGCTGGAACCCGATAGTTGTGATTTAACGATTTCTATTTTGGTAAGCCAGCTGTGCTGTGAATGTACTGATTTGGAAAGTTATCTCTGAC